GGAGGGAGGGACAGTGAGAGCCCAGCCGGACCTGCCCCCTCCCCTGCGGGCGGGGTGACCCCAGCTGCCTCCGCCCGCCTCCCAGGGCCCCAGACCCGTCCTCCGTCTCCTCGCGCACCTTTTTCGAAGACGTAGAGTGTGACCTTCGAGGTCTTGCCCACGATGTCCGGGGGGTTCTTGACGTCACAGGTGAACGTGCCGTTGTCGCTGTAGTCCAGGTTGTGGATGACGATGGAGCCGTCCTTCCAGCGCGGGTCCCCTACCCACTGGATGCGCTCCTTGAAGGTGCCCACCTCGTCGATGTAGGGCTGCCCCTTGGCGAAGTGGAAGATCTGCGGAGCCAGGGCGGGGCGGTCCCAGCCACAGGCGCGGGGCCTCGGCTGGGGCGGGCGGGAGGGGACCGTGCAGACAGGCCTCCGGCGGCCACGGTGGGCCTGCCCCGGCCACGGGGGGGGCGTGGCTCCTAACGGACCCCCCCCCCCCGCTCGAGTTCTCCTGCCTGTGGCCTCGGAAGCGCCCTCTCCGGTGCAGCCCCAGGGTCCCCCAGGCACTCACTGAGATGGCATCGCGGCCCCCCTCGGGCTGGTAGCGCCAGGTGAAGGAGATGTCATCCGAGACCCACTCGCTGGACCAGAAGGAGCAGTGCAGGGTCACTCGGGAGCCGACAGCGCCATGGACCTCCCTGTCCGTGTACACGACAATGGCCTGGGCCAGGGACAGCACTGCAAACAGAGGGGAGCGGGTGCTGGGGCCCCACACGGACACCGAGCAGGTGAGGGCAGGTCCTGCTCAGGCCAAGTGGGCGGAGAAGAGACTGGGGCAGACATGATACATTCTGAGGTCCGAGTCTCCCACTCACTGAATAGCAGATTGAAATGCTGTGTTGGTTCCAGCTTGTCAGCCGCCTGAGGAAGGAAATGGGCAGTGACTGTTCCCGGGGGGGACAGCCAGGGGCTTGCGTTTGTCTGCAAGTCTCCCTTTCCCTTAGGCTCCCGTAAGCCATCCCTATGATACAGGCTTTACAATTTTTTAAATTTATTACAAATTATACAGGTAACACATATTACATTCTTCTTATAAACTATTCAAGCAATAGAGATAAAGCTAAAGTCTCTCTTGAGGCCCCCTCAACCAATTCCTTCCCTGCCTGTTATCATTTTTTTAAAATACATTTTTATTGATTTCAGAGAGGAAGGGAGAAGGAGACAGAGAACTGTCAATGATGAGAGAGAATCATTGGTTGGCTGCCTCCTGCATGCCTCTACTGGGGGTTAAGCCTGCAACCCAGGCTCGTGCCCTGCTGGGAATTGAACCAGGGACACTCAACCACTGAGCAACACCAGCCAGGCTGTTATCAGTTTAATGTGTAGCCTTTTTCTGTGAATCAAATTCAATATAAACTTAATAAACTCAAGATATGCAGGTACTTATGCTTAAGAATATATGTATATAAAATAATATATGTAGGGGTTTCCATGATGATTCATAGAGACAATCTTCTTTTTAAAAGCTGCACAGTATTTCTCAGTAGAGCAAAATCAAGTTTTTCTACAGGAAAAAAAAAAGAAGAAGATAACTAGAAAGTGTTAAGTCTTCTTCCCTGGCCCAATTGTCCTCACTGCTGAATCTCTGGTTGCCATACTGCTGACCCTTGACTGGGAGATCAGGAAGGAAATACCCAGGGGAAGCTGGGTACAGCCCCAAACCCCAAGTCCAGAGCTCAGATGACTGCGTGTGAGCGCTCTGTGGTTCCACCTGCTCACCCTTCTCTAGGCCGTTCCGGGTCAGTGCCACGCCCAAGACTCGCCCACACAAGAAAGGCCATTCCAGGGAATTGCGTGCGTGGGCTGGCCGAGTGGGGGCAATTGTAGACTCTTTTGTTCTAGGAGATGAGGAGCAAGCAGCCAAACAGAGATCCACTGTCTGAGCAATGCCGGGGGCTCATGCCGCCCCCACATGGTCCCGAATCTCCCACCTCAGCATGTAAGACATTGACCCGCCACCTAGGACCCCCGCCTGAGAGCCTTCTTGGGATTCCCAAGAGCAACAAGGAAAGTTATTCATTGGGTGCACCTCCTCTTCTTCCTGCTCTAATGTCCCCCACTGCCCTTCAGCTCTGCTCAGGGAGTGGGGCTGGTGCTGGGACAGAGCACTCCCCCTCTCCACGCCTTTCCCCAGCATTTCCTCAGGGGCCCCGAATAGTCCAGTACAGCCCAGAAGAGTCTGGGTTTGGGTTGAGGACCAAGAAGTTGAGGGCAGAGAACGTTGGCCATCCTGAGCAGCCCCACCCATTTGCCTGCTGCTCCAGAACAGTTCAGAGAAGAAGGACCCGTTCAATCACCCTGCTTTGACTTTCTCTTGCTCACCCAACATCTACCATGGGGCAAGATCAACTTATGAAGGAAGACAGCTTTCGATGAACAAAATCCTAGAATCTCATAAACCCTTCCTCCCACTCCTTTCGCCCACATAATAGACAACTGTTCCACAGAGAGAAACTGAGGCACCCAGAGGCAAAGGACCCAAGGAGCTGGGACCACAAACGTGGAACCTTTCCTTAGATCACAACCCCTGGATTTCCCTTCATGGAAACGAAGGGTTGGTGCCTCTGTACGAGACCATGAGTAGGAACCAGACTCAGGTGTCTGACCCTGGTCCTCATCTTGCTCTAACATTGCTTCCCCCCAGGCCCTCAGCATGGCTCTGAGCCATGTTACCGATTCCCAACCTGGGTCGAGTGTGGTCCACCTCAGGGAAGCTCTCTACATTCTCTTTTACCTTCTCCCTTCACAGAATACCTTTATGCCTCCCTCCAAACTATATATTTTTTCTCTGAATAGAATATCCCCTTCCTGATCCTTCTCACTCTTTCTTTAATTGCAGTGGGCAGTACAGGGAAGGCAGTGGAAATTTTGCAGAGAGAACCTGAGTCCCAGGGCAGAAAATCAAGTTTTTCTACAGGAAAAAAAAAGAAGAAGATAACTAGAAAGTGTTAAGTCTTCTTCCCTGGCCCAATTGTCCTCACTGCTGAATCTCTGGTTGCCATACTGCTGACCCTTGACTGGGAGATCAGGAAGGAAATACCCAGGGGAAGCTGGGTACAGCCCCAAACCCCAAGTCCAGAGCCACTTACCCAATGAGGAGAAGAGCAGTGCGGCCAGGATAGAACTGGGGCTGGACGAGGGAGCCCCAGGAGCCATAGCTGGGGCAGGGTCTGCAGGGTTGGGAGAGTGGGGGACCAGGAACTGAGCGGGGGGTTCCTGGAACCTGCTTAAAATCCCCCAGGGCCCCAGTATGAGGGGGCTGTCCTGAGCCAGTAACCAATTGCAGCCTGGCATGTGCAGTTGAGAGGTGGTGGTAGGGGGCTGACTGCAGGGAGCAGAAGGAGCATTGTGTCCTCTGGGTGGAGGGTGGGGTACACATACCACCCCATACACAGAGGGCTTTGTGTCTGCTGGCCTCCCCCTGCCCTAGGCTGGAATGTCGAGGGTGGTGGTGAGGGAGAGGGACAGAAAAAGAGACACAAACACACTTCTCTGAGGGATGGATGGGCAGGGGGACCTGAATCCTAAGGCCACGAGAAGGGGATTCCTCCCCAGATGCCTTGCCTGAGATGACCCCCTAGGGCCCTGGGAGCTACAGGCAGGTTTCCCAAGAGAACCTGGGAAGCAACGGTCACTGTCATCTCGACAGTCAGGTGGCAGGACAGGCTTCTTGAGATGACCAGGTCCTTTGGGAGCCTTATTTGACCCAACTCCCTTCGTCCTGGGTGATTCTTCCCAGATGGAAGCTTTTCTCCCAGGGAGGAATCTCCTTGTCGGGAAGTCCTTCAATGCCGTATGCTGCAGTCGTAGCCTATTTCAATTTAGAACAAGTCAGCAAAACCATACTGTGCTACCTAATGTAAAATGCGGGTGTGCAGGCAACAGAGAGAAGAATAAAACTGAAGTCCCCCTTCAAGGAGTTCAGGATCTAGTTGGGAGGGCAGAGAGAGGAAGGTCAGAGGACAAGCCCATCGACAACTGACCACACGGACTGCGACAGCTGCCACGGGAGAGTGTGGAGCAATGTGTAGGGCACCCAGGAGGCACGCTCAGCTGCACGGGCATGGGACTGTTAGGTGATGGAGATTAAAGAAAAGAAGGGTTACTTAACGAATGAAGTTCAGAGGACGTGGGAGTCATGTCTGGGAGGCAATATTAGCTGTGGACCAACCATGAAGGATCCGTGCCATTTTGAAAAAGAGAAATGTACCCAGGTAGGGAGAGTATCTAGGCAGGTAGAACAGCGAAAGCAGAGACAAACGCAACGTGCGTGCGTGCGTGTGTGTGTGTGTGTGTGTGTGTGCGTTGAGAAGGTCTGTGAAGTATTGGGCATATTCAAGGCAGATCTGGGGCCATCCACTTTGACTTGGGGAAACCTGAAGAGGCATCACAGGAAACGAGTCTGTAGGAAAGTTGAAGGTGGTTTTGATGGGCCTTAACATACAGACTAACGAGGGTGGATTTAATTTACACTCTAAGAATTTCCTGAAGAGTTGGGGTAGTGTTTAAAGTTAATAATGGGAGTGTCTATATGCTCAGAGCTGAGTTTTAAGACAAACCTGGCCAGGAAATTCATTCGGGTCAGAGCTCTCCTGATTGCTGCCTCCTCTCCCCCCCTCCTGGAACCCTCTGAAAGGATTTTGCTTTCCATGGAACCTCTCACACTCCCACCGGAAATGTTTTCCCTTTCTCTTCCCCTGCCTTTCTCGCACCCCAAGCCCTGGGTAGACTCTGCTTCTTCTCCTGCTTATTTTTTAAAAATATATTCTATTGATTTTTAGAAAAAAATTTTTAAATATATATTTTATTGATTTTTTACAGAGAGGAAGGGAGAGGGATAGAGAGTTAGAAACATCGATCAGCTGCCTC